AGGGTCTGCAGACAGGCAAATAACCAACATAAACTCACCATTTAAAAATGGAGGGAGAGAAACTGGACAACTACAGACCCGTTAACTTAGCATCAATGGTCAGAAAAATGATGGAATCTAGTGTAAGGGATGTGATAACTAGACACTTACAAAATTGTAGGATTGGGCAAATTCAATGTGAATTTATTAGATAGAATTCAGGTTGTCAAACCTGCAGGAGTATTTGTGTATGTTGCTTGTAGCATAGATGAAGGAGAACCAATGGATGAGATCTATTTGAATTTTCACAATTCTTTGATAAAGCTCCAAGCTGCAAGTTAGTAAATAAAATTACAGCATTTGGAATTAGTGATAATATACTGACATGGATTGAAAATTAATTGACAGGCAGAAAGTAGAGAGTAAGAGTAAGCAGGTAATTCTCAGGAATGGCAGGCTGTTTCTAGTAGGGTGGTGCAAGTTTCAGTGTTGGGGCCACAGCTATTCATAATATATATAAATGATACAGATGTAGGGATCAAATCTAATATTTCCAAATTTGATAATGAAACCAAATTGAATGAGAATTCAGTTTCAAGGTAATTTTGCAGGCTAAATGAATGAGCAGGAACATGGCAGATGGAAAATAATGTGAATTAAGTGTGAAATTATTCACTTTAGTAGAGAAAAAAATAATGTTTCCTAAATGGTGAGAGGTTGGAAGTGTCAATATCTAAAGAGACCGGGATGTTCACTAGTCACTAAAAGTTAGCAAGTGCAGCAAATAATTAGGAAGCCAAATGCTACTTTGTGTGTCGCCACAAGGGGATTCGAGTGCAGAAGTAAAGATTCCTTGCTGAAATAGTATAGAGCTATGGTGAGACCACACCTATAACACGGTTTTTATTTTTGGCTTCTTTACCTAAAGAAATAATATACACACCATAGAGAAAGTGCAATTGAATTCACCAGGCTAATTGCTAGAATAGTGGAATTATTTTATAAATTGAGATTGAGGAAATAGGGTGTGTACTCTCTAGAATTTCAAAGTATGAGTGATGATCTAATTGAAAATTTACAAAATTCTTACAGGGTGTGACCAAATGCATATAGATTAGATGTTTCCCATAGCTGGTAAGTTCAGAACTAAGGGATAAGGGAAAGGCCATTTAAAACAGAGACGAAGAGGAACTTCTTTACTCAGGATATTAAATCTTTGGAAATCTCTACCCTAGAAAACTGTGGAAATTTAATCTTTGAGCAGATTAAGACAGGAATCGATAGATTTCTGGAGACTAATGTCTTCAATAGATATGGAAAAAGTTGGGAGGTAGATAAATCAGCTAGGCTCTAATTGAATGATGCAGACTCAAGCAGCTTCTGCTCTTATGTAAGTTCACATCGCAATGGCTACCTGATCCCTACTGATTTCCCACTTATCTCCCTACAACTCCAGTTTCTACTTCCCAAGTACACTGGTGTGCTGCAATGTAGGAAATGGAAAATATGGCAGAGAATTGAAAGCAAACTATTTCTTCTGTGGAGCTGCTTTATGAAACTTTTGCGCTTACATTCACTGCCCACCTTCTTCTGCTTTAGATTCAATGTAAGCTATAAATCTAAACACCAGCACTACTGAAGACTGGAACTGACTGCAGACAAACAGGAAGTCAAGGAAAGCTGAGCAGTAGATGAATGATGCAGACCCTAAAAAGGACAGCAGGACTGATCCAACAGGTTCGTCCATCCCATATTGTGCTACAGTACTACAAACAGCATTGAGTTCTGGATAACCCTTCTCTGACAAACTCACCCATGGATCCTAAATTCCTTTCTCGTCACACGTATCACACACAATGACAATTATTCCCAAGATACTTTTACTTTTTGGATTATCCGAATGTCAGAGTTTAACAAATAATAACACTTAATGAAGTGTACCTGGTTCTTTAGATAATAATAACGAAGGGAGAAGTATGAGTGAGAGTTAAACCAGGGCTACATAAAACTTAACCAGAATTACAATACCAATTCAAGGGAATTTAATTTGCAGAGGATGCAAAGATAGAATGCTTTGTGGGTGCAGGATGCAGCCAAGTTCCTACAAAAGGAACTCAACTGAGACCAAGGACAAATGCAAGATACAGAATGTTAAGGTTAAGATTAATCAACTATTTTAGGATATGAATGTCAAGGGATACCTGGAGGTATTTTCATCAGGAACTAGTGTTCAGAGATATGCTCTCAAAGTAAATTGCGCATGACCAATCTGTCTTTAAAGATAATTTTTCGAAGTGATGAACTTCCAGAAGGCATTTGCAAAGTTCTGATGCGTTGTTTTATGAACTAGTCAGTGGGTAATCAAGGGCAACTAGCTCATTCATGTAAGGATGTACAGAGTACTTCCGAACAGATCAATAGCACCAGTGGGAGATAGTGCATTTGGTGTACTCTTGGTCTTTGCTAAAACTCACCCTTTCAGGACACTTATTAGTTGACCTTGAGCAATTATCTCCATTTGAGGGAAAGCTACTGGCATTAATTGACCTGTCACTCACCAGTGTGGGTTGACTATAAACAAAACAAATAAGATTATATCATAGAATCCACTGATTGCATCATGCCATGGTCACACCACAGCTGAAGTATAATTCTGGTCACAAACATAATGGGAGATTAACACAACTCCTACAAATAATGCAGAGTGTGTAACAAGGTTGATCCTTGTTGCAAGCGCAAAGAATGGCAAAGAATGACTCAATAAGCTTGGTAAAGAGGCATACACCATTCAGAACGTCAGAATAATTATTGGAATAGTAGAAAATCAACCCAAAACATGGTACCCATGGTATTTTTAAAATAAGGATAATAGGGGTTGTTGAAAACCTGGGACAGATACCAGGAAGTATGGCTTTGTGTCAAATGGGATCAATTGCTGGAACAGGTAGTCAAGAAAGATAAGATTCTCAAGGCTGAAGTCAAATTGGCCACAGAATTTTGTCCCATTAAACCTTTATCAATGACAGATGGAGTATCTAATTTCCATGATTTGAGGTCTAATTTGAGTGACTGCAAACATATGGTTAGCTGCTAGACAACAGAATTCATGAAATTCCATGGCAGTGGTGAATAAGTTAATCGAAAGTGAAAATAATTTTCTTTAGTCAGTATTGCTTGAAAGATCCGTAATTACTCGCTAAACTTGGTAACTGAACATTGAGAGAGAGATCAATTTGTGGAATGATGTACCAGTAAGAGCCTTCATCCGTGATTTTGTAACAGAGGTACTACTGGTTTCCTTTTACTATACATCCAAAAATGTCACATGCAAAGTTATCTACTAAATGCCACATTTTAGTCACTAGATGGCTCTTCTCACCTCATGGAGGGCAGGTGTCTCATCACTACATCTAGTGCTTGAATAGATTCAAAAGGAATAGCTGGGAGACGACCTGAAAGTGCATCATGCAGAGCTTGGAGACTGACACATGCCACCCACTTTATCACCACCTTAAAGATTCTGTCCTTTCCTTCCCCTGGCAGAGTTACCTCTAGCTCCACCTATTTAAAAGAAAAAACATCAAATACTGAACACAAATAAACAAGACAATTAAAAACTACAACTAATCAAGGAGCAGAAATACCTATTCATAAGCTACATCAACCAAAAACCATATTAAAATAATGGCAATAATCAATATTATGTAGCAAATACAGAGGTTATAATAAAGACAATTCATTATGATTAATAATCATCAGTAGAATAGTCACATAGTCACAATGGGAACTGAAAGGAGGTCTACCTTCACACTTACTCAATTCATTGCACTTGTATCAAAACTAGATTAACATAAACTTCTGCTTATTCAGGAAAATTAGTAACGTAATCCTTCTGAAGTCTAATGCAAAATAAAGCAGATCCTGTGACAATCTAATCATTAGCCAAAAAAAAATCAATATATCAGTCATATTAATCATACCAAGATTTTTTAATACATCCAATAGGATTAAAAGGATGGTGCAATGGGCATTTTGATTTTTGTCTATTCATTTAGAGGATCTCAGTTTCGCCGACTAGCACTGATTTCCCATCTCTTCTTGCCCTGAAGAAGGTAATTGTCAGCAGTCTTCGTGAACTGCTCTAGTCTATACAAACAAAATTCAGCTACTTGGAGGAGTGTTGGGAACCAATGAGCACAAATTTATTTGGCAAGTAAGGAGCAGATGGAGTTATTTTATATTAACTTGGTGTTGTTCTAAATTGAACTGTAAAGCCTGACCAGAAGAAGTGTAGAGAAAGTAGATTAAATAACATTCCAAAGGCATTTCTAATTATCCAGTGTGCTTAACGTAATAGATCACCATGAGGCATATTACTGGATTTTTTTTTTTTTTTTTAAACGTACACCAATGCTCATATGTAAAGTGACTAAAGATTCCAGTTTTGCTCGGTCAGTTCCAGATTTTCATTAAACATCCCGGCGTCTGGAAAATTTCCTCAAAATAGTTGAAATGCCACAAAATTTACAGTTTTCACATTTATTTTCAAAGTGAAATAAGATCAAATTGAATTTAAGTTTGAGCACATATACTTGGTTCTGTGCCTTGCCCTATAGTCAACGCAGCACGTAGCCTTGCCCTACAGCATGATACTGCATTTCTGGATAAGGCACGATAACCACTTCAGGATGAGCAGGCAGAAAATGGGCAGCAGGTAGAGGTTGTTTGATTTGTTTACATCCACAGCACATGGTTTCTCTGGACTAGTTGAGGAATCAACTTTGAAAAGAAGGGCACCAAAGTATGGTCACTTTACTTGTTTCAGTAGTATGAAGCATTAGTCCACTTTCACTCTGAAAGTCTGATCAGCCCTTTTGCAGGAGGATATTAGGTCAGGTGACCAAAAGTCCAGTAGTAGATGTGAGTTTTAAGGAGTTCTTTAAAGGAAGTAAGCGAGGTAGAGAAAGAGACAGGTTTATGGAGGTGTTAGGAGCGCAAGGTTTTCACATAACGATTATGTTTTAAACTATCCTGTTTAATTCAAGGTAAAACAGAATAATGACTATTCTGGACAGTAGGAGAAACAAATATTTTTGTCAACAGATGTTTCAGCAGGAAAAATGGAAGCTCATTACCAAGCTGAAGAGATGGGACCCGCAAAAGTTCAGCATATGGTCTGGAAAAGGAGCTGTCAGAACATCCTACCACAAATCGGTTTGGGTAATTCTAAGATGACCGAGGGAACAGACATGGAATGTTACAATTCACAAGGGAGATGAAAGCCAAAAATTGGAAGCAGATTCGGGCTAGGTCCTACAAAGGCTACAATGCTGCAGAGACTGAGGTGCAAAAGCAAAAAATGCTGTGTACGGCTTTCAGTCATGTTTACATATTTTAAGGAAGGTTACCTTTTCTGTATTATTGTATTACCTGCCTACGATGCAATGTTTAGTTGATGTTGATTTAGTCTGCTTTTTTTACTTTACAGGTTTTAAAACAGGAAATCCTTTAATGCGATCCTGTGGGTTGGTCACTGGGAATTGAGAGTTGTCAGTGTCTACAGGAACTGTAACAAAAGGAATTTCAGAACTGAAAGCGCAGCCACCAATAGAGGGGTAGTTAAAATTGGAGATGTTTAAGCAGCTAGACTTAGATGACTGCAGATGTTGGACAGATTACAGACATGGGGAAGGACAAGATTATGGAGGGATCTGAAAACAAGGATGGAAATTTTACAGCAATTTGACAGAAGGAAGAAAAAAAACATGGGATGCTTTCCCCAGCAATATGGATTAAAAACCAAAATGCTGGGGATAACCTGTAAATCCTGATTTCTTTTTTGACTATCGTGCTGCTGTTCACGAGAGCTTCCAGTGAATAAGTCAGCTACCGTGACTTCAATGTTACAACTCAAACTTAAACACTGAAATACTTGAAGTACATATAAAATGATTTAGGATGCATTGTTCTTGAAAACTCTATACAGATTTAAGTATCTGCTTTTGAAAGATTGTAAAGTGGGATAAACACAACAGAATGCTGGAGAAGCATCTGTGGAGACAGAAACAGAGTTAACATTTTGACTCTTGTGACTCCTTCAGAATTTCTGAAGGGTCATATTGAATTCAAAATGTTCACTGTTTTTCTCTCCACACATGCTGCAAGACCTGCTGAGTTTCTCTCGTATTCTGCTTTTGTTTCAGAATTCCAGCAGCCACAGTATTTTTCTTTTATTTAAGGATATGGTGGGAAGCTGGCCAGGAATCCTTGGCCAATGATCAAGCCGAGGAGGTACCAAAGGCACGATGATGGTTTCACTGATTTGGTTGTCCTGAGGTCCAGAAACATGCTCTATAAACCCAAATCCTTTTCTCAGCACCTTCATTTTATCATTGCAGAATGATACTGCATAGAAATGCAAATCACGCTTGGGCTGATTCTTTGAAATAGTCATCCAATGAACTTCACTTCTGTGCTCTTTTTCCGTAGCTTTGCACGTTTCCTGTTCAATTTTACAGCTTCGGCTGCTTCTAGGCTTGATGGGTGAAACACATTGATGGTTGGTCTCCCACATTCAGCCCTCCATAAACCCAAGGGCACCCAGAACTCTGCTGATCATGTCCTAACTCACAACAAGGCCAGGTCATAATTCCACCAATACAGCAATTAAAAAAAAAAATCCCCTTTTGCACAAAGATTTTTGTTGGCTTTACCCAAGCTTTGGGATTCCCTCATAATCCACTCTATTTCTCTCTCTCGCTCTCTCTTCACCCTCTGAAGACACTGTAGTCTCCATCTTTAACCAAGTCCACATGTTTAAATATTTCATGTGGTCGCTACCACTTTATTTTAGAGGTACTCCTATCAAGAACCCGGTGTTTGACTATATCAAAAGGTGCTGTATAAAAGCAGTTAGTTTCAGTACAACACCTGTGCTGCAAGTGGCACTTAAAATTCTCAATATATTTCCCTTGTATTATAATATGTAGAGTCTAATTTTTAAAAATAACTTTAAACTTACAGTTAATAGATGAACTGATGACATGATTTCACATTTTAAGATGCTTGCTGTGACAGACTAAAAGCACTATCGACTAAACACTACCTTATGTTGAAAACTTAATATTCTACAGAACAGCATTGATAACAAAATCAAACTATCAGATTTACATTCTGCTGTCCTTTAAGTAGACATTCAATTTACCCAGAAGCCATCCAAAATGAAGCTTAGCTCTAACGGTTTGCTTCCTATCATTTCCATTCCCAGCTTGGAAACTGTCTTTCATTGTGCAACTTTGCCTGGAGATTTTTCCATTTAACTAAGCTAAGAAAGTCATTCAACTTCATTCTAACAGGAATTTTGACTTTCTAATCCGAGTGCAAGACCCTACTTACAGTCCTACAAGGTGAACCACAGCACCTTACTTCACATTTCCTCACTGCCATCCCCAGACCTCGGCAGACTAACCTTGTCTGAGAGCTTTCAGGGTTATCTTTGAAATCCTTTCCCTCTCAGTGCCTTTCCTCATGGCAGTGTGATCATACAGGCACTGTCTCCAGTTGGAATCCTGATTAGTTTTGGAGCCCAACTCTCTTTCATCTTGGAAGTATTGTTTGGAGGAGCAAATTCTAGAGCCTATCGGCCTGCTCCTAATTCATATTTTCATATTAAAATCTTGCACCTTGTTCCCCATGAAACAACTACGGCCCATTCATTTGGTAACAATAAACAAACCAGGCCTATTCTCATGCAGACTTCGAAACAAATTACATTCCTCTCTTTCATTTTATCTTAAAGACAGCTCCAAAATATGAAAATTTATAAATTCCAATTGTAACATCTGATAACCTAATAGAAAAGCTAAATTCCGTATACAGTAATACTTTACCTCACCTCATTATAGCAATTGTGTTAGTTCTGAAATACAACTAGGAGGAAATAATAAATGCATTTCTTCTACAGCCTAAACATTTTATATTTTTGGATAAAGTAACAAGAGAAAGAACTGCAAACCAAAGACAGCGATAATTATCTGCTATATGTGGCCAGCAGGCGATAAAGTTGTCTTAAACACACCACCGCTGCCCAGTTGTTTGCGCCATCTTCAAATTAATCACAACTATAGAGTGAAAAAGATCAAATGCCAAAATATCTCTAACCTAACAGTAAAACAAAAAATTGCCATAACTGAATTTCCCTCTTAAGTTGCTTGCTTCAGCTGAACCTTACAATGGATTCCAAGAATTAAGCTTCATCATCTGGATACTACCAACCCCACTTATTGCGACCTCCGTGGACATCGCAAATTCTTGTACCTACCCTTCAAACTCCATCCTGAGCTCCATCCTAACTAGCACCATTTTATCTGAATCTCCAACATCAACTTGTCCTTATGTATTATCCAATGGCATTTCCATCTTCCACTGATTCTTCACTTACTCCTTCAATGCACAACTTAAATGTATTGTTTAAAAAAGTATAAATACCTTCTTATCTCAATTTAACAATCCGCTTCAGTTTTATCTCTCAACTGTGATTTTTGTCTTCTCCTTCTAGACCCATGTGCACAAATCGCTCCCTTGCCTCTAACAATGGTGGCACACAACCTTAACGCAATATTGTTCAAAGCCGAAGGATATGGAACTTTTTGAAATCAGACCTCTGACGTTTAGGTTTTGGAACTATGACAACAGAAAATCAACACTAACTTTTTCCATACCTCTACATATTAAATGCAACATTTGGGCTGATCTAACGAATTCAAATGTTGAGTTCACTAAAGTAATCTCACTCACCCTGTCTCGCCCTATTGGAAGAGGCATTGCTGTATAGAGGTTTTTCCTTCCATCAAACACTGGCTTCCGATCACCAAAGATCTGATTTTTAAAATGCTGAACCATATGTTCAACAATTTCTCTGAAAAGCAAAATAATTATTTCACTTCACAGCTGTTTGGATAAAGACATTTTTCATCCACGCATTCAAATGATATTTTTCAAACTGTTTTAATTTACTTCTATTGTAAAAATTCTTAATTAAGATGAGTCAGTGTCTATTTTTAAATTCACTGAAATTGGAATTATAGTATTTTATGAAAGTACAGAACGTTAGCACACCCCTTAATTGGGATAGAAGGGGTCCTAGTGGCCTTACAAAGGTATCCTCTTGTGTCACAGTGGCAAGGTAGGGACCCCTGGAGCAGGAAGCACAGATTCAAGTCCCACATGCTTCAGAGATATGTAATAACATCTCTGAACTGGTTGATTAGAAAAATGTAGATTTTTGCATATTTCAGATTCACACATAACGTATATTTCTAAATTGTATAAACATCACAAAACAACTTCACACAACAAGTTACTATTGAAAAGTGGTGACCCATCAAGCAAACCACCGATTTAAGAATGATAGTTACCTAGATTTAAGTTTTGTTTCCATCAGTTCATAATGTTGAAACAAACTGAAAGATTTCAGCTCAAAGTTCTCATTATTTGATCAACTTATCCGAAGCTGAGAAACAAAAAGTGTCTCATTTGGGGAACTGCACATTTATAAACTAGCATTACTTTCTAACATAGGCGGTTGTAACAGGTTCCAGTTAACACTGGAATTCAAATTTTGCCACACATCTTAAATCCTAAAATGTAGAATTTTTTCTGATAGTTATACTGAATCCAATAACACATATTATTTGTGAAAGCAAAACTCAGACAATAAAAGTTTGGGGAAAAATTAAATTGCTTAAATGGAAAAGGTGACGGTGTCTCAGGACATATCCATTTACGCAGGTTAGTCCAAGCTGGTGGCAAAATACAGTCATCACTAAAATTTGCATCTTGCTGAAACTACCTGCCATTCACAAAAGGAAACTAATTATTTCACATTACCTGTTGACTCTTCTCGGGCATTTGTCTGGTTTTATGTCTATGTCATAATGGTAGATTTCAATTTTTGGAATGTCCACTTCAAAGAAGTTGGCCTGTAATTTGATTGGTCGACCCATAGTACCAAAATCAGGTCTCACAGGTGGTTTGAAAGTTGCCAATGTCTGCACAGGTGTTGTTGGGGAAGGTAGATCTAGAAGAGAAAGGTATTTGTATTAGAATTAAAAACAGATTGTCCGTACAGTTTTGTATGCACAGTCATCTCAAGCTTGCTGGCATCTATAGCAAGATAGACAAAACTGGAATAATTCTTACCGAATTAATATGTGAGCTATAGCAGAGAATGATGCCTATTTAGCCCATCCATGCTTGTGCCAGCATTTCACAAGAACTATCAAGGGTCTCATTCCACTGCTCTTTTTCAAGTATATAGCCAATAAACTATCAAAATTTACTGGTGAATCTGCTTCTAGGCAGTGCATTCCTAATCGTAAATCTGTGTAAAAACATCTCTGTTCCAGTGCTGATGTCAATTATCGAACATCTGCACTTTGTCCACAAGACCATAAAATGTAGAAACAGAAGTAGGCTATTCAACCCATCAAGTCTGCTCCACAGTTCAATGAGATCATGGCTGATTGGACAATCCTCATCCATTTTCTTGACTTTTCCCTATAATCCTTGATTCTGGTACTGATTAAAAATACATCACAGCCTTGAATACAGTATCCACATCCCTCTGTGGTAAAAAATTTCACAGATTCACTCTCTTCAAAGAAGAAATTCCTCATCTCTGTCTGAACTGGGCAACACCTTACTCAGATTGTGCGCTTTGCGCCTCGACTCTTCCACAGGGGAAACAACCTCTCAGTATCACACTGTCAAGCTCCGAGTAACTTTTTATATTTCAATAAAAGTTTGCCTCAGCTTTCTAAACTCCAACATATACAGTCCCAACTTGGTCATCCTCTCCTCATAAGAAAATCCCTCCATACCAAGGAGCAACCTACTGAACATTTGTGAAATCCATCAAAATGCCAGTATGGCTTTCCTTACATAAAGACGACCAAAACTGTTCACAATATTATAGGAGTAGTCGACTAGGGCCCTTTAGTAAGACTCCCCTATTTTTATAAAACAAGTAACTGCATATGCAGGAGATCTGAAACAAAAACAAAGTGCTCGAGAAACTATGCAGGTCTGGTAGCACTAGTAGGGAGAGGAACAGAGTTCAAGTTTTGAGTCTCGTGACGCTTCATCACTGTATCATTTTGTTAGCTGTTTCTATCTACAGATACTGCCAGCACTACTTAAAAGTGCTGGAGAAACTAAGTAGATCTGGAAAGAGAAACAGAACTAAAATGACACAGTGAAGGAGGGTCACTGGACTCAGAACATTAACTCTGTTCCTCTCTCTATTGGTGCTGCTAGACCTGCATAGTTTCTCCAGCAACAAAAACAGAAAGTGCGGAAAAGCTCAGCAGGTCTAGCAGCATTTGTGGAGAGTAATCAGAGTTAATGTTTCAGGTCCAATGACCCTCTTATGAGGAAGGGTCACTCGACACGAAACATTAACTCCGATTTCAACCCGACAGATACTGCCAGACCTGCTCAGCTTCTCCAGCAATTTCTATTTAGGTTTCTGATTTACACCATTTGTAGTTCTTTTGGTTTTTATTTAGTTTCTCCAACACTGTTTCTGTTCCCTAACTTTACACTCTTTTCCCCTTGAAATAAACACAAACAGTCCATTTTCTTCCCTGTTACCTGCTGAACTTGTATGTTCGCTTTTTGTTAGTAGGAACTGCCGATGCTGGAGAATCTGAGATAATAAGGTGTAGAACTGGATGAACACAGCAGGCCAAGAAGCATCAGAGGAGCAGGAAAGCTGACGTTTCGGGTCCTCAGACCCGAAACGTCAGCTTTCCTGCGCCTCTGATGCTTCTTGGCCTGCTGTGTTCATCCAGTTCTACACCTTATTATCTCTGTTACCTTTTTGTGATTTATGTACAGGACTCCATTCAGCTTTTCTATTCTTCCTGCCAAAGTGCATAATCACACGTTTTTGCACATTATATTCCACCTGCAAAGTTTTTGACCATTTGCTTAAACCTGTCTATATACCTCTAAATTCTTTGCGTCATCCTCACCACTTGCCTTCCCAACTGCTGTCCTCAAGCTTGGCAATAGTGCATTCACAATCCTTATCCAATTCATAAATAAATGTTGTAAATAATTGTTGAGCAGTAATTCCTGTGGCATTCTACTAGTGACAGGTTACCATCCTGAAAATATCTCCTTTATCCCAATTCTGTATTCCACTAGTTAGTCATTCCTCTATTCATTCAAATGTTGTTCCATCCCCTGCCCCTCGCCCACAACTCCAGAGTCTCTAAGCCTTACTTGTAGCACTTTATTGAATGCCTTTTGGAAATCCAAACATATTACATCTATTGGTTCCTGAATCTACCCTGCTGCTACCTCCTCAAAGACTAACAAATTTGTCAGGCACTTCTCTTTCATGAAACTTTGCTGACTATATTATAGATTTCTAAACATTCTGATATTACATCTTCTCTAACAGCTAACCAGCCTTTTTCTAAAAAAAAAATTGTCTCCTTGCCTTTTTGAATAAGGATTTCAAAAGGGAAGGAAACAAAAAAGAACTAACAATACGCCAGTCAGCAAAACATCTGACATTAGCAAAGTGTTATGATCAGGGATGTAATAGCAGCTCTCTTGCCAGTAAAATGGCTTCTCATTTACTCAATCTTTCACAAGTGAAAATTAACATTAGATATTTAAAATTAAGTGTTGTCTGCTCCAATAGAAATAAAAATAGAAATTCAGCTTCTTTCTACATATCTGAAGTCTCTCATTCTTGGCATTATTCCTGTAAACCTTCTCTATGAAAACTTGAAACCCCTAAAACAGAATGCACATTACTGAGCACAATATTCCAGATGCAGCCCAATGAGTGTTTCTATTAATGTTTAGCACAACTGCTTTGCATTTCACATCTCAATTTACAAAACCACAAATCTCGTACATTCTATTAGCTTTAACAAATTGTTATTCTGCTGTCTTTAAGGATTTGTAATTATAAACCCTCAGGGATTTGGTAAGCACACAAACATCTAAAATTAATTATTTTAGCTTGATTTGTTGGCAACCAACTTGAAGGCCTATCACTAGCCTTAATATACTGGTAAAATCATAGTTCTTCTGTAATTCTAACTCATCACCTACAACTGCTTCCACTATCACCAGGCCTTTAGACAATATTTCCTGTCACCAGATTTGGAGGATCTGGCAAAGGCAGAGCTATTCTCCACTGCTTTGAGGTGCTTGTTGTATGTCTCCATGTGTCTGAAGAACATAGGAGGACAGGAATTACCATTCCCCAGAAAGACATGACTTTGAGATCCTTTCCCTCAAACATTTTTTCCCTCAACTGACTGAAGGTTAATTGGCACACTGCACATGGAAAACTTCATTATCTGGCGGCCTTTGATGAGAGGATACTCCCAATATATGAAAGAAAAGGTCCATGCATTTTAGCATATTTCATGAATGGCCAATCTTCTTGTATGTTTCAGAAGAAGAGTTCATGATGGCCCAGAGCTCAGTCAGTGCCCATAATGACATCATTTGCATACTGAAGCACAATGATAGAGGTTGCAGTGACTTCAGTTTTGAATTAAAGGTGGGATGGGTTGAGCACTTTTCCATCTATTCTGTAGACGATGTCGATGCCTGGAGTTAGTTTGCTGAAAGTGAGATGCAGTGCTGCAATGAGAAAGGATAGAGAAGAGGGTTTGTGCAAAGACACAGCCTTGAATCATTCCAGTTTGCACTGGTGGCTTGTGATCATTCCATTGGTGAGGATCACAGCTTGTACTCCATTGTCAAGTAGGCGGGGGATGGTGACAAATTTCTGAGGGTCTCCACATTTGTATTCCATAAGCCTATATGGCAGGCAGAGACAAAGATTTCTGAAGTATTGGAAAAGGTGACACACAGCATTTACTGCTATTCCTTGTATTTTTCTTGATTTGCGTTGTGGGGTAAAGTGGCATGGCAGTCTAACAGCAAATGCACCTTCCCCCAAACTAATTTGTCCTTTAATAAAGTGCTACCTACCAGCTCCACTGACAGGATGTTGGTCATATGCCTGACATTAGACTCCCAAACCAACGTTCTACTCAAAACTCAAATCATAGAATGCGACTTCCAGTAGGATGACAGAAATACTTTACAGATACCCTTAAAGCAACTGTGTAGAAATTAAACATCCCACCGACTGACAGGAGCCCCTGGCTTGGACTGACTGAAATGTAGAAGCTTTATTTGAGAAGGCACATACACATTTTGAGACTTAGAAGCATGCAGAGACAAAGTCGAGGCAGAGAACACACATACTTCTCAAGCTATCACTGCATGTAGCAATCATAGAATCCCTAGTGTGGAAGTAGGCCATTTGGCCAATTGAGTCCACAACAAACCTCTGAACAGCAGCCAACCCAGACCCACCCCTCTACCCTATGCCTGTAACCCTGCAGTTCCCATGGCTAATCCACCTAACCTGCACATACTTAGACATTATGGGGAAATTTAGCGTGACCAATCCACCTAACCTGCACATCTTTGGATTGCGGGAGGAAACCCATGTAGACACAGGAAGAATGTGCAACTCCACACATAAGTCACCCGAAGGTGGAATAGAACCTGGGTCCCTGGTGCTGCAAGGCAGCAGCGCTAACCACAGAGCATCTGTGCCGCCGTACTGTCTGTAGATTACCATTGGACTCATAAGCCATCGCAGAACCAACTAAACTAGCGTAGAAATGTCATCCTCAACTCGGAGGGACTGTCTAGGAAGAAACAGCAATATTATTGTCATGCGAATTGGTTCTGGAACATTAAGAATTTGGAAGAAAAAAATTCTGTAATCTGACCATGGCAAGTTTACTGCCGTTCAAGTGAATATTATGAAAATTAGAAACTAAACATTGCAATTTCCCTAAACCTCATTTGAAAAACATCTCGAATTTAGTTACATAAATAATTTTCAGACATACCATTATTCCTGGCTAAAATCATTAAAACATCTGACTGCATTTTCTTTTAAGCAAAATTGTAATATGTACCAGCTAATAAAAATGAAGTACACTAGAATAGTACAGAGTAAAG